TGCTGATGACTTATGAGCACTCAAATGAGATAGGCATGGGTCTGCCATCATGGAACTTACAAGCTAACAGCAAAAGCAGACATTGCACCAATAATTCCAAGTTTTGTCAATACTATGGCAGAGTATAATGGAAGAGTGTGTCAGGTGGCCTAATCTAGTCTAAGGGTCAGTGAAGGCTTCTCTGGGGAAGCAATATATACAAAGGAAAGGTATGGTTGAGGAAAAAGAGCATTCCAGGCAGAGTGAAGACTGTGGGCAAGAGCTCTGATCAAACAAAAGGTTTATGTTGGAAGAACGGAGAGAAGGGCTAAAGCTTAGAGGACAAGGAGGAGAATAGGGAGATGGGGCTGGAGAGAAAAAAACAGAGCAAGGTCATGCTGAATCTTGGCGTTCCCATGAGGAGGCCACGTTTATTCCAAGGCCAGTGGGGAGCCACTGATAGGTGTTAAGCAAGTGAGTGAATGATCAGCTTTGGGCTCCAAGAAGATAACTCTGATTGCACTGGAAGGGAAGAGAGGAAGTATGCAGAGGGCAGAAATGGTGGTGGCTTGGACCAAAGAGGTTGGCAGTGTTTATAAAACATCTTCAAGGTAGAGTGGGGTCCCTGTCAGGCTAATAAAATACTCCTCCCATTGGAGCCTGGTTATTTGTGTTGTTTGTTTGTTTGTTTGTTTGTTTGTTTTTAAGATTTTATTTATCTATTATTTGAGAGAGAGAGTGCATGAGAGGAGAGAGGTCAGCAGGAGAAGCAGACTCTGTGTCAAGCAGGGAGCCCGATGTGGAACTCGATCCCGGAACTCCAGGATCATGATTTGAGCCTAAGGCAGTTGCTTAACCAACTGAGCTACCCAGGCGCCCATATCTGTGTTAGTATTGAAGAAACTTTCCCTTTTCAGAACCTCAAAACTCTTCCTTTATATGGGAGCCCATGAGCAAAAGGCAACTGAAAGGCATGGAAAAGAAGAAAAACAAAGGGCTAGTTCTCCACTAGAATGTGAGCCTGAATCTGCTGGTTCACTGACTCCATCCTATGACATAGGGAGAAATGAAGTACTAATGCACTCAGCAGGGAAAAGAGGGTCAGAGTTTGCCTAGAAATAGTTTGTAGCTTGTAAAAGTATTGTACAGAATAATGTGAGAAAATGGACTTTTTTTTTCCCCCAAGATTTATTTATTTGAGAGAGAGAGAGAACACAGGGGGAGGGAGAGGCAGAGAGGATCCTCAAGCAAGCTCCCCTTTGAGCCTGATGAGAGGCTCAATCCTAGGACTCTGAGATCATAACCTGAGCTGAAATCAAGAGCCAGCCACTCAACCACCTGAGCCAGCCAGGTACCCTAAGAAAATGGACTTCTAAAGAGAATTCTTTTCATACATAAGACAAAAGTCTTTTAATTACTGGCCTAAGATCCCTTTAAAAGGAGGGTTCATTTAGATAGCTGGTGCTCTAATTATTAGCCCCTTTTGTGCTAAGTGGGATGACAAAGCTCTCACTTCCCTCTGGGTTCAAAGAATAGTTATTGTCAAGCATTTTAATTGAACAACTACATGATGAAAGGCATTGGAATACAGTGGCTCATCACACATTGCTTCCAGTCCAGTGAAGAAGCTGAAAGTCTAGACATTAAGCTATTACACAATTAAATTTAAGAAGTGCAGGGGCACCTGGGTGGCTCAGTCAGTTAAGTGCGTCTGACTCTTGATTTCGGCTCAGGTCATGATCCAGGGTCATGAGACTGAGCCCTGCATTGGGCTCCATGCTAGACATAGAACCTGCTTGAGATTCTCTCTCTCCCCCACTCTCTGTCTGACCCTCCCACCCAAATCATGCAGGTGCTCTCCCTCTCTCTCTTAGAAAAACGCAGCTGAGATAGGTTCTCGCAAAGAAAATATGTGTACTGTGAGGGCTCATGGAAGGAGGGTGCCACACAGACGGCAAGTTAGGGAAGTGCCGAATGAACTGAGAGAAGTCAGATGGCTAGAGAGAGAGTGAGACAAGTGGTATAGTGAGTTAATTTGGCAAACACATATAGCACACCTGTCAGGCGCCAAGTGTCATATAGGTCTCTGTGATACACAAATAAATAAAACTCAGTTGTGGAAAAGAACATGGGCTGAGTCTTGCTAATTGCCGACTGTGAGAATTTGATGGTCACTTTAACTACCCAAACCTCAGCATCTTAATCTGTAGGACACAAAAATATCTACCTTGAGGGATTACTATAAGAATTAAAAATATTTAAGGCCCTTAGCTCACCACCAGACACAAAAGTAGCAAGTTTTGTAATGATCACACCGAGCGTATGACATAGTATCAGAAACAATGTTCACAGTGTTGGAAAACACTCTTTTCCATCAGACTGCCTGGGTTCAAATCCAAGGCCACCATTTACTAGCTCTCTGACTTTGGGCAAATGACAAACTTTCTGATCTTCAGTTTCTTCATCTATAAAAGGAAGATAACAGAAATACCTCCTAAGTTTCTTGGGAGGATCGAAAGAAGTAATGCTTAAGTGTGAAATATGGTTAAATAAGTAGCTAGACTATATATTGTGTACATGCAAGGTGCTGTACCAGCACAGATAGATAAGCAGTAAGTTGTTTTGGTTTTTGTTCTAGATAGGAGGGTGAAGTGAGATAAGACCAAGTCTTGATCTTGGCCTTAAAAATGAGTAGGTGATGGGCAGACAGAATGCTGTTAGATTTGCCTTACTTAAGCCACACTTAAGCCACAATTCACTAACGTGAGAATGCAAGTGGGCCGAAGGCTAAAAGAGAATATTTTAAAAGACGAATGAGTTTATTCTAATAGGCATCTTCTCTCCAGTTGCTGCCATAAGCTGCAAGGCGGACTGATATAGTTGACAATAACATGAGCTTTGGAATCAGGCATAGCTGGGTCTAATTCAGTTCCTACTACTTCTGTGTCATCTTATGCCAGTTACTTTACCTCCCTGAGCTTCAGTCCACTAATCTTTAAAAAGGAAGTAATAACAGTGCCTTCTTCATGAAGTTGTTCAAGGAATAAACAAGGTAATGCATGTAAAGAACAAAATACCATGTCTGGCACATAATAAAGATTTGGTAAATGTTAGCTATTGTTATTATTGTTGATGCCTCATTGACATTTTGCTGGCACAGAACATTAGAATTTGTTCAATGTATGGAACAATTGCATTAAACACAAGAGTATTACCTAATCACCTACTCAACAGTGGGATCTCCAAAATAGATAAAAAACAAGCAGATGGTGAGTTCCTATGTGACAGTGATTACAGGAATTTACCTTTGTGGCCCAAGGAACTTTGAAAGTTGTGCAAAGTAGGCCTTCAGTAAATATTGAATAAGTTAGTGAGGGATTTGCTCTGCTGATCATAAAATAAACTTTTTCTACTTATAAACATGAGGCATGTTTCCGTAAATCTGTAAATAAATAAGTACACTTGTCATTTCACCACCGGTGGGACAATCACTGTTAATATCTTGATACATTTTCTTCCAAAGTATGTGTGTGTGTGTGTGTGTGTGTGTGTGTGAGAGAGAGAGAGCGTGCACGAGCAAGAAATATCTGTGTTGGAAGTCATAACATTTAAAGTAACTATATAGATAATGTAATTTGATCATAACATACAAAAAAGCTTTTTCTCCATTTGTCATATGAGCATTTTGCCTTGTTTCATTAAATATGCTTCAAAACACGATTTAGACATTGTATAATATTCTATAAGGTTGTGCCATGAAATTTATTTATTAATTATTGTTAATTTATTGCCATATTGTTATATTTTTAGCATGTGACAAAGCTAATTCATCTTAAATATAAGTTACCATATGCAGCAAGTTCTTCACCTTTCAGGGTTATAAACAACTTGAAAACCTAATTATTAAAAAATGAAACTGTACTATTTTTTTCATAGAAGAAAATTACAAACATAGATAAAATGCTGCCTACAATTTTAGGAGCTTTATAAACTTCACAAAGCCCATCCATGGATTCCTGTTCCAGGACTTTAGGTCAGAAGCAGTGACATCAAATATGTTAACATGAAGCAGAACAAAAAAGTACAAGAAATCTAATGTGGCAATCTGGAGAAGTATCCTCTCTGAAATACTCCCGACTATAGGGTATTCAACTCTCTTTATAACATGGCCCAATCCCAGTTCATTCTTATATTGGAAATAATCTTAAATCTAGATGCTACATTAACACTTCTGTACAGCTTTCACGACAGTAATTTTGCATGTGCTGTATATTTATTGTTCTTGGTGACAGAAAGCCTCTGCAGAGCTCCTATGCTACTTCTCACTGCAAGGTCCCACACCCTGCAGAACTGTATTAGTGGGTCTACCCCAGATACCCTTCTCTTCTGTGTCTCCTAACTGCCTTATTACATCCCATTCCATTTGAGCAAATGTATAGCATGACTCAGCACTGGAAAATACAGTTAGATTTATCTAAAGAAAAGAGATCATTTCATAATTATATCAAAAGTAAATTTAACAAATTTAAAATGTAGTACAAAATGGAGAGTCCAAAAAAAAGATATATTCACTACTTTGGGTCAGGTATAGTTCAGTCTCAGGACACAGAGTTTTAACTTGTTCTTTGTGTAGTTCTAACCAAGGAGAAGCACAACCTTTAATTTATTATCTTTATACTTTCTCCAGTATGCAATTTATGATAATGAGGCTGGTTCTGCATGCCAATTTATACAGTGTCTAAAGAAGTCTGATAAGTTCTCAGCGTAAAGCAGAAACCTGTTTTATGTTTTCTGTTTGTTGTTTCCATACATTTGCTTCTGAAGATGAAACAATTACTTAAGTGAAAACTGGGGTATGAAAGGGCATGTCCATGTCTGCACATTTCTGTGTAGGTGTTTATGACATGTGTGTTTGAAAAATTCTAAATCACTATTCAATTCCAAAGAGTGATGGAAGAGGAAATTTTTGAAAACAATCCTAAGAATAATTTATATTAAAGACATTTCTTTCTCCCTCATAGCTGCATCATCCCTCTCAAGGCTTCCGCTTTGGAACTGTCCGGGAAAGCAGTGCTGAAGATTATGTGAGGCAAAGCTTCCCGGAGATGCATGAGTATATGAGAAGGTACAATGTACCAGCCACCCCTGACGGAGTGGAGTATCTGAAGTGAGTGTCAACCTCGAGTCTAGAAAGTTCTCACTGAAAGAGAAGTCTTAGCTACTGATATATATGTAGTATCTGTTAGTTTTTTTTAAATGACAGCTAAATATACCCACTGTGTGTTCAGTAATACCTGACACTGTGTGAAATAGAGAAAGAATTATGGAATAGTGTGCATTTAATTATGTGGCCTAGATTACCAGTTACCTGCATCATCCCCAGTTGGCAGTAGCTTTGCTCGAAGTGCCAGTGGGGTCATTAGTGTAGCAGATGGTGGGGGAAGTAAATGTGGGCCTGACATCACTTCAGAAAACAACAGTGCTGAAATGATCAAACACTCAGGGAATGTGGCCAGAGGATAAAGTGTCCCAAAGCAGCCCTTGCCTTCACAGTGAAGCTCTAAGCCCATGGACCGTCTCCTCTTGCCATAAGGAAATGGAATTTATCTTGGAGATTTCCTGTAGAAAGGAAATAAGATAAAAGGCAATGATTCCCATGTCTGCATCCTTCTCATCAGAACTTATGAGAAGCAATCAAGAGCAATCACAGTGCCATGGCAGATTATCAGAGCCTGTAATTCAGCGAAGCTGAATGCAAAGGAGGGAGGTGCAGTTACAGATCTGCTCCTCTGGTCTGCCTGGGAGAGAGGAACAAATGGCTCCTGATAAGTTCCACGGTGTAAGCGTGAGCAGTCCTCTCCCTTGTGCCTGATAGTCTCAGGACAGTGACATGCATTCAAGCCTCCACTCCCTAAAATCATGCAGCCCCAGGAAACAGGTTTACTTATGGTCAACCACAGTAATCTTCCCAGTGGACAGAAGATTTGCCACCTCAAATTCTCTTTTAGGGAAGAAGGAAAACAAACGAATAATTGCATGAGACATAAGAGCTAATGTGTTTCTGAAGAGCTCGGTGATAGGACCCTAAAACTCCTTATGGACTTTTACAGAGTCTAGAGAGGAAGGCTTGTGCTTTCAGATTTGCCAAGTTACGTAGGCTGAAATGCTACTTCTGCGCTATGAAATGGCACTTTTGGTTTTGCAAGAACATTAAAATGTTAGACTCCCGCTCTAACACAGAGTTGAGTGCTCCTTTGCTTTCCAGCTCCTCTTCCGTCAGCTCTCCAGCAGGCAGATTCATGACTAAGAGAGAGATGGTGTCAGGGTGATGGCAGTGGCTCCCCACTAGATGGTAATCGCTGACAAACTGGGCTCTTCCGGCCGTGCGGAGAGAGTGAGATGCGCCAGTCCTGTGGCGGTCCCCAGTTCCACTCAGGGTGCTCATTTATTCTGGAGGCTGCACCTGAGAAGGCCCTGAGTTGTCCCCACTCCAGCCTGGAGAAATGAAATCGTTAGAGAAGCAGGCACCAGTGAAGAAGCTGAGACCTTAAAGAAGCAACTTGTCCACAGTAATATAGTCAGCAAGTGGCAGAGTCGGGACTAGAACCAGGTCCCTAGAATCCAATCGCTGCTGCAGGCCACTCTAGGAATCGTAAGAGAAAAGTAGGTCCTTGATGTTCAAAGAATAGTCCATGTTCCAGCAGCATCCATGATCCTGTTAGCCTTGGGAGTTTGTGAAAAATGCTGACTGCCAGCCCCACCCCCACCCCCCACTGAAACTGCATATTAACAAGCTCCCCAGGTGATTTGCTGGTGGAGGTGACATTGGAATATAGGCAGATACATAAGTCACTTCCAGTGCTCTTAGCCACCACTCCGAAGAAACCCCAGTCCTCATACTAACCCCCTGGCATCCCAGAGCCCTGGCCTGCAGAACACACCTCCAGAGTCCCTTATGAGTATATGTTATTGTGGTATATGTATTATTTTGTGGCATATGTATAATTAAATGAATTCTCAAAAAGGCAGAGCATGATTCTGTAATGGGAGAAACAGTTGGGGGCCCTGCCAAGTGTAAGGATGATTCAGCCAGTCATTTTACCTGGATCACACCCAACCACTTGCTCACCAGTGACTCAGGACCCCAGGGGAGTCTGTGAGCTAATTGCTTCTTGCCTTCCTGTGCAATAGAGACCTGTCATAACTAACTTCACTTTGCAGTCCAGAATCAGGAGTGATTATTTAAGGATACCACTGAGACCGGACCTTAGTGATTACTGCTTAGAAAAACTAAACCCCGATTTTTTTCCTATTGCTATTGCCTCCTCAGCTATTTGCGGAGTACTGGTAAATGGTGACTAGTTGCTATGTAGCTCCCGAGGTACATTTTGTTATTGTGACAGTAAAACTTTTATTGGAGAAACATCTTTCAGCTTGATTTTTATTTTATTGCCAAGATTCCATTAAGGTTCCTCATCATCAGCTCCTAGGAGACAGTTCACATCCTCAACCCTTTCTGAAGCTTCCCACAGCTGTGGAACTGGGAGATGTTTTTTATTTTGGTTAGAGTTAAACACAGGTCTCATTATGACTTCAATCCAATACTCCTGGAAAAGGGAATACATTTTCAATAGGCTGGAAGAGTAGAAAGGGGAAGCAATGGTCAATGGCATCAAGAAAAGGAAAGTTGACCTATTTACTCTGTGTCCACGTATGGCCCAGACAAAGCCATCCATGCAAATATGTACTTCCTTCCCACTGATGAATCTTAGCGGTGTCTAAGCGGGTCTTTCTTTTTCAGATTTTCCATGGGCCCTAGCCTGTTCTGTTCTGGGTTTAACACCCCTCCACTCTGTTGAATTCCAGTAGACTCATTTTTGGCTCTGAGAGGGGAATGACTGAGTCTAGATGGAATAGAGAAGAGTTTTTCTCTTTGCCAAGATGTTTGGACAGCCCTGAGGGCCTTTCTTAAATGGCTGTTTGTCCTACCCCCTTCCAAAAAGGATTTGAGGTGGCTGAAAACAAGAATCATTGCATACACTCTAAACAGTTCCTTTTAAGATTCCCCCTTCCTTGCCTCCTTTGTAATTGAGAACCCAGCCAGTGCTGAGACATACCTTCCTCCGGACATTCCCGTGCCTACATTTAAAAAAAGGGGAGAACACAGGAAGGACGTGCAAGGCACCTGTTGGCACCTCGAGCCCAGTTCACATCTGATTCTCTGATACAAACCAGGAACACCTACCTTAAATGATTCCTGCCTGAACCGCCCCCTAGGTTGGGAGTGAAACATGAATCGCTGGAGATATATTAATAAAGCAGACCACTAAGATCTATTACCTATAGATCACTTCACCCTCCAGTTAATGAATACTGGCCCATGGACTTTAAAGAGACCTTTTATCGCCCTTTTCCCCAGGACTGCTAGATATAGATAGATAGATTTGTATTTCCTTAGTATGTATTCCTAAATATGAAATGATTCCTGATCTCTGGAGAATATGATAGTGATCATGACAGAAAGAAATAAAAATTTCCACATACTGATTAATGAAACCACCTGACTCCCAGCACTATCTAGCTATGTAACCTGGATCCAGTTACTTTGACTCTCTGAGCCTCAGTTTCCTCATCTGCTAAAATGGGATAATACCACCCACCTCCCAGCCATGGTGAGTGATCATGTGTGTGGAGAACAGTCCGTGCTGTGCCTCCACAAACGAGTCACTCAGTTTATATGAGAGAATTGAACCTTCCCATTCAATTCAGTCACTCTGGCTTTATTGTTGGATTTAGAAGTAACAAAAGGAACGGGTAGATAAACCATTGGAAAGATGTCATGCTCTCTTAGAAGAGTATCTGTTTCCCTGGGTCTGTTCTCCACGGGTCAGTGAGATGTCAACAAGGCTGAGTCAGCAGCTACCTGGCGTGGGCTGCCCCTTCTTTCCAGATTTCTGTCCCCTAAACAAAAGCCAGTTGTCAACCTTTTCTGTCTACTAATGAATCATTTTTCTCTTTTCTTCTCTTGGTCTTAAATATAGGAATGATCCAGAGAAACTAGACGCCTTCATCATGGACAAGGCCCTCCTGGATTATGAAGTGTCAGTAGATGCTGACTGCAAACTTCTAACCGTGGGGAAGCCATTTGCTATAGAAGGTCTGAGCCAGTCACTCTCAGTTCACTCTGACTCAGGATATGCTCACTTTGCCAACCTAGCAAGTCACAAATGCCAGAGTCAGAGGCCAAAAGCTATTCATCTTCCCTTGTTTTTATTTTCAGCTCATAAGCACTTAGCTCTTGAGTTGCTGAAGCTAGGAATTTATTTTTCACCTACTCCATAAAAATTAATTTATCCAATTGTTCAAAAAACAACAACAACAGTTGTTGTTACCCAGATGATGTTGCTTCAGATATCTGAGAATGGGGGTATAGTGTAACAAATGGGGAGTTCAATTTTGATTTAACCTGTATTTTCTAATTCCTGTAATGAATCTGATGCAAAAACTAGAATGATCACATTCTACAACTGGAAGGTTGTAGTACTCCTTTTATCCACAAGAAAACCCAGGGACATTAGATCAGTTTTTCATGATCACACAATTAAATGATAATACTGGAATTAGAATCCAAATCTCATGGTTCCTAAATAAATGTTTTGTTTTGTTTTTTTTCCACGAGGTGGGAAAACATAGAAAAAGAACTTTCCTTCTATACCTAAGTAACCTTTAAGAGTCCTAAACAAAACCTTGTTTGGGACCTCAGGTTTGCCTTTCTCCCCCACTGGCAGCAAATTTTTGCTCCCAACTTGATCAACCAATCCATCAAACTTCAGGGGCAAAGAAGGATTGCTTTGTCAGTTGCTCCTTTCATTCTGGACAACTGTTGGTATATGGAACTGATCGTTTGAACCAGCAAATTTCACATCTCCCAATTCCCAGTTTCTCTTCTCTGACAATACATGCTGGGTCTCAAGACAGCCATGCTTCCTTGTCAGAAAACACTTTGACTTCAGACAATCCTGTGAGGGTGCCCAAGTCCTATTTGCAGAAAACTCTGCTTTTCTGTATGTTAACTAGCATATCAATACTATTGTGATTCCATTTTCCCAGCCACAGTTGATCTGTCTCTCCTAAACATATCATCAAATTTTTTACTTTGGTCTTTGTTTTTGTGATGAATGAGAGTGTAAGAGCTGATGTTGTTTCTCTGAGCCTTCTCCTAAGAGAAATCAATCTTTTCTCCAGGCAAAGTGACCTCCACCTGAACCAGGGAGAGAACTCAGGAAGAGAGAGATTTAATGGCAGTTGTCTTCTATTAAAACTACAGTCAGAGATAGAAAAGTCTAAAAAGAAAAAGAAAAGTCAAGAAAAACCAAAAGAACATTTATTATATAACCCCATTTTGATGTAACAATGGAAAAGTTCCCTTTTTTTTTCTTTTTTTTTTTTTTTTGGTGGCATCTGGGGATATGCAAAGGATGTTACATTTTTTTTCTGTCCTAGATATACTGGGTAATTGAGGTCCCTCTTGCCTTTAGCAACTACTAACAATGAATCATTTGCAGAGGGCATAAGAATGAGGGACTCTATTCTCCACCTTTGTCTTCAGGGGGCAACCCTAGCTTGTCAAAAGACAGTGGTGAGATGGCTTGTTTGCCTCTGCTAGACCCCAGTGCCAGATGCCACACAATTAACTCCCCACTGGTTCCCTGTTTACATTTCTGTCTGTGCTGCTGAGACTTAGTCTTAAAGTTCCCATCTTCTCCACATACCACATTGTTTTCAAAGGGGATAAGCACAAAATGGCGCATGAAAGAGCTCTCTCTGCAAGAGAACAGAAAGACCACAGATCTGAATAGAAAGCATTCCCCTCATTGTTGGTTTATTCTGAAAAAACAAACAAACAAACAAACAAAAAACACTGCTGGTTTATTCTGGGTAAGTTGCAAATCAGAAAATTTAATTCAGTACTGTCCGTGCCACCAAGTTCACAGCCTGAAAACAGAACTTGGTGAAACACAAAGGGAGGATACTTAAAATTGTTACAACAATGTGATAGAGATACTAGTAAAAGTCTTGATCCCTGCTTTTTTCCTTTTTTAAGGATTTTTTTATTTATTTGACAGAGAGCGAGTGAGAGCATGAGCATGAGCAGGGGGAGGGGCCAAAGGAGAGGGAGGAGCAGACTCCCTGCTGAGCAAGGAGCACCCATGTGGGGCTTGATCCTGGACCCTGGGGTCATGACCTGAGCCAAAAGCAGCTGCTTAATGACTGAGCCACCAAGGCACCCCTTGAGCACTGCTTTAAAAAAAAAAAAAAAAAAAAAAGTTAATCTCATAAATTTTTAGGGAATATTTCTCTTGAAGAAATTTTTAAAAATATTATATGCTTTGACAACATTTATGTTTCTTGAACTTACAAAAATGCAGACTTATTAATTAATTCAACTTTAAAGATTTCTTAATTTATTTGACAGAGACAGCGAGAGAGGGAATACAAGTAGGGGAGTGGGAGAGGGAGAAGCAGGCTCCCCGCCGAGCAGGGAGCCCGAAGCAGGGCTCAATCCCAGGACCCTGGGATCATGACCTGAGCCGAAGGCAGCTGCTTAACGACTGACCACCCAGGCGCCCCTAATTAATTCAACTTTAAAGGCATAAAAATGTGATGAAAGCGATTTATGAACAAGTCTTACCCTTTTAGCTTACAGGAATGTTTTATATATGTATCTGTGTCTGCTGCGTAATAACAGTTATGTAATAGATGATGTATCACCTTAGATAACTCAGGAGGATAAATTTGAAATAAGTGTCTAATTCACGGACTACTGCAATTCATCAAGGGACCCTGATATCTGCATATACTTTCCCAGGTGCTCACATGGCTTTGTGAACTTAGGAGGGAAGGGTGGTCCATTGACTGCTTCATGTTGAATGTTCATTCACTTTATATAGTACTGATATCACACCAGCTCCTTGTACCAACTGCCCGGCCCTCCCCACTCCACCATTCTGCATTTATTTAGGCTTAAAAGGTAAAGGTGAGGCCAATGTGAGCCTGTGGCTCCACTTTGAGTTTAAAACCTTTTCCTGAGGACTCAGCACGGCAAACCGAAACTCTTTAGAATTCGTCCTATTAAATACCATACACCCAGGGACACAAAGATGTATAGTGTGCTCTGGAAAAAAAAGAAAGTGTTAAATAAATGAATACATGTCCCAATTTATGCATTGGAGTTAGCTGACAATAAAGGTCAAGTAGGAAGAAAGAGTAATGGAACTGCAGAGTAATGATTTGTGACCTTTCTGCCAAAGACCTTTGCCTGTTTTTTGAGTTTGTTCTTTTACTTTCTTAACACTAAGTATTTAATACAGTGTTTTGGAGCACTGGCTCTAGAGTCTGAGTCTTGGCTGAGAATAGAGTTGCTGTTACTCACTGTGCCCCACGGAGCAAGTCATTTCGTCTGTTCTTCAGGCCCCTCATCTGCATAATGGGTCTATGAATACCACAACTAGCATGGAGTTGTGAAGGTCAAGTGAAATAATCCATGTGAAGCATGGACAAGCACGGAGTGCCCAGTAAATTATTATTATTCAGTATATTGAATTAATAGACTGAGAGTGATTCTCCAGAAAATTATCCCAGGAGAGATAACCCTCACATATCTCAGCTTCTCCCACATACTTCTTTCTCCACTCTCACGTGCTGGGGGTAAGGGAAACCCATTTTTAAAGTCTACTTTACAGCTGAGGCTATTACAATATGTTCTCAACCATTGCCCCAGAGTAACTAAATGTGGTATTCCAAGGACAGACAGCAAAAATGAATTAATCTCTCTTTCCTGAAGCCTTTTTAACCCTATCTAAGATCTCATTTTCAAAATATCTGTTACCAACTACATTTCAGGAAGATTCTTCTAGTCTATGAATTTCTAACTATACATTTGCTAGCCAAAATATATTTCCCCCACTCTTAGCTGAGTAAAGCTGATTTATCCATGGGGAAAAGATCAGGATTCTGTTCTGAAAATTGTTCTCTTGGGCTATTAAGCTGTATCCAATTTCCAGGGTGCCTGATGCCTTCATCTTTAGGGTTGAAGGATTCCATTTTGCTTCATCCATCAACCACAAAATAGTCAACCTCGTCTTTATTGCAAAGCCACGTTTCTAATGATAATGAAAGCAACTCAGGCTGCTAGGTTGAGTCAGCAATTTAAAAATAAGAATTCTTTGACCAATGAACACAATCAAATTTGAAAAGCAACTGATAAAGAGAAGGACAAAAATGAAACGTTCACGGTTTTACTATTTTAGGTTTCTGAATAAAATGGATTTTTATGTCTTTTAACAAATACCTCTCCTAGTCACCAGATAACTTTTTTCCTGTGAGAAATTTCTACGCTTGTTCTATATTCTTAGTGTGCTTTACTTAGCTCATAATTATTATTGATGCTAATAATCATTTAAATGTCAATAATATATGTATTAAAATAGAAAATTTAGAAGGACAGTAATCTATTTTTAGCAGTCAATTGGAAATTAACCTTGACATGATGGAGTAGAGTGATTTAATATTTATTATTTCCTATGTAGCAATTTTTTATAAATGTCCCTGTAACTTCAACATAGCTTTTTCCCTAAGGCATTTTTAGTACTTTTGTTGTAGTGCCAAAATTCTATTCTTAGAATATATAGATTTATCATAAGTATTAATTTCAGCTTTTTAAACTTTACATCACATATTTCTGTCTCATCTACCCCAAAATGACAGTATCAAGAATCAGTCTACGATGCCACCTCTCATCCTCCCATCTGGTAGAAAGTTCTCATTCCTCTGAACTCCGTAGAGTTTTATCCATCCTCCTCATTGCATCTAGTTTTCATATTTGACCTTTATTGAATTTATGCATCATCTATCTTGTTTTCCAGAAAAGTCCTGTAACTTTCTCCCATGTTGTGTAGTTATTCATGTCTGGCTCATTGCCCTCATGCCCCCATAGCTTCATAAGGATAGAGCTGCGTCTGAATTAACTTGGAAACCTCTGCAGCCCTTGGCAGGGTATCTGGCACAGAATAAACATTCAACACATGTCTGTGGAATTAATGAATAGATGAATAGGTATGGAATAAGCGCATTATCAGATGAAAACATTCCTGCCATTATTACACTAAGCTGGGCCGGAATTGTTGGCTTTGAGGTGATTTTTAGAAGAAACAATATAGTCAGGGGGTGTCCTTGCTAGTTAATATCCTCATCTATGTATAATCATGGACCAGGTAGGGCTATACTTACAGTATATTTCTACAACTTATGGAAAAGTTTATAAACAAAATCTGCCCATGAATAATATATATTTTGTCTGCTGGAAACAAACCATCAGTTTAGATGATTGTGGTTTTTTACTGCATTGCCCGGTTTGGGGAGATTACATCAATATGATTGTAGTGATAGAGCCTGTGTTGAAGAGGAGAAGATAGGCCAAGTATTCCCTTATCTTGGTTGCATGTTATTCTGGACACCGTGGAAAGAACATTGGCTTTAGACTCAAACAGACCTACTTTCAGATGCTAGCTTTGCCAACTATGAGCTGTGTGACCTTGGGCAGTTTACTTATTCCTAAAGTATTACATATTATGCATAAGTTCTTATAGCGGTTAGACCCATGTGGTATATTATCTGGTACACAGTAGAACTCAGTACATTCTAGTTATTAAATTCCAGCATGATTTAACTCAACTATAGACCACAGTATAGTATACAGTCTTAGTCTAGTGCATGGTCTACAAGATGGGGTAAGGTACATATAAAGTTTATTATAGTGTTTAGTATATAGTACTCTCTTAATACATATCAGAAATTGTTGAAAATTATTGCCCCAGGGGAAGAAATACGGTAATATTCAGCAAACCTGGTATAGCTGTGCTGACAATCAACCCACTTCCACCAGATAGTTCCAAGTCCTCCCACTCTATGTTCTATACACCCCAGTTCTCTCTCGTGGCATTTATCTCACTTGTAATGAAATAATCATTACATGGTGCAGTAATAATAATGGCAGGGACTGCATCTGCCTTGCTCATTACTAAATCCTGATCAGTTAACACAGTGCCTAGTCACTCAGTAAGTAATTGTTGAATGAGTGAATGATGAATGCATGAGTCAGTAAGTCATTGAATATTATTATACACATGACTAGCGTTGTGCCTGACATATAAGTCCTGAAAGAATGAACTTGCAACGGAGTTGTAAATAACATTCATTATAATAAAAGTTTCTAAAGAAAACTGGTTACTTCGTTATGGTTAGTTGCCCATTATAAAAAATGTTATTTAATGATAACATCAGCAGAAGAACAGGCTGCCTATGTAAAGTCTTTCATTGTCGGTCTTGCTTTTCAAGCCAAAACTACTAAGCACAAAGTAGGCAGTCAAAATAGCCCTTTGGATGGAAAATTCTAATCATGCTCTTGACATTGTCATCACTTCCCTGACTGGCCATTGTTAGGGAACAAACAAAATTATCAGGGGAAAAAAAACATACGGCTCTTTAAAACTCAGAAACGTTTTTCTGCTTTATTCATTTCTTCTCTTTTATTGCTTATAAACACATCTCAAGCCTCGTTTTTTTTTTTTAAAAAGGATTTGTGTATACACAATAAAAAAACAAAAACTAATGTCCTTGGAAATAAATTGCAAGATAGAAATAATTATAGCAAGTATTTGTTTTCATGAAGTATCTTTGAATTCTTGACAGCCTTTTAGTCTTTATCAGTGAAAAAAGAACGAGCTATACTTTTAATTTATCTTCCTCAATCATCCTGAGGGCAAAATATCTTTTTTTTACTATGCTGTCCAATAGCTAAAGACAAAGTGTAGTTAATTAGCTCTCTCACATGGCTCATCAGAGAGCTTACTAGTGAATTAACAGTTTGGAAAGGAAGTAAAGCCACACAGAGCAAGGATATACAGTCCAAGCTGATTATTAAAAAACTCTGACAACACATTGCATCCACCTTTGTGCTACTCCTTCATCCTCTCCCTTTCCTCTCTTGCCTTAAATAACCACTATCCTGGATGTAGGGCTTATTAGTTTCTTGATTTTCTTCTGACTGTACTTTTGCCACATACTGTATGAATTCCTAAAAATACACTATTTCATTTTGAATGTGTTTGCATTTACACAATGGATTCATGCTGTAATTTTCTGGGGCTGATCTTTTTTACTCAGTATGGCTTGGAGTCATCCATATTATCCCATATAGTTCTACTTCATATGTTTCACACTATATACAATATACCAATGATGTAATATTCCACAATTTATTTACCCATTCTCTTGTCAAAGAACATTTGGGTTGTTTCCAAATTTTTACTAATTATGAACAGTGCCTTTAAGAACATTCTGATACATATCTCCTGGTGTGGTTGTAGTGGAGCTCTTTAGAAATGTATTTAAAATTACTGATCTTAGAGCATATAGATGTTCAACTCTACAAAATAATAGCAAACTAAGCAGACGCTTAACCATCTGAGCCACCCAGGTGCCCTAAAATAGGTTGCTATTAAATAAAGAAATAAAATCTTAAGAAAAAATAGCAAACTATTTTCCACAATGGTTCTATCAATTTGTATTTGCAGAAGCAACATATGTGATCTTATGGACCTACATCTTCTCCAACACTTGGGTTTTGTTTTTTTTTTTTTTTTAAGATTTTATTTATTTATTTGACAGAGATCACAAGCAGACAGGCAGGCAGAGAGAGGGGGGGGAAGCAGGATCCCCACCAAGCAGAGAGCCCAACATGGGGCTCAATCCCAGGACCCTGAGATCACAACCTGAGCCGAAGACAGAGGCTTAACCCACTGAGCCACCCAGTCGCCCCCCAACACTTGGTTTTACCTGACTCTTTTTTGGGGGTGGGGGGATAAGTGTTTGTGGATGTTTAAATTCTCATGTTATACTGAGGCATGGTCTCATTATTAAAAATTGACAAAAGTAAAAAAGGGTCTTCTTGCATGACCAATGATGAGAGAATGTCATAAACCCGAGATTATAATTAATCCAATTTTGTGTGTTTAAGGTTCAGAGGAGCGGTTTTAGGAGAGGTGAATAGAAAATCCTAGTCCTGGTAAAGGCCTCAAAGGTATCTTCTCAAAATTACCTTGAAGGGAAGGGCAGAAGGCCTTGGAATATAATGTGCTCCTGGAACACGGTGCACAGCCCATTCCTCTCCTTTCCAGATTCATCTCTTCTACTCAGAAAGGCAGCAGATGTGTAATAATCCTACCTTGGACCTCTCTGTGACCTTTGAAGGAAAGATGTTAAAAGCTCACCCTGCCCTTGGTACCAGAGCTGATGGCAGTATCACACAAGTGTGCTGGCACCTCTTCAGATCCTCTCAGGTGAAAAGCTGACCTGAGGTTGTGTTCTCTTCTAGGCTATGGCATTGGTCTCCCGCCCGACTCTCCACTGACCTCCAATATATCCGAGCTAATCAGTCAGTACAAGTCCCATGGGTTTATGGACGTGTTGCACGACAAGTGGTACAAGGTGGTTCCCTGTGGAAAGAGAAGTTTTGCTGTCACGGAGGTAAGGAAAAAGTGCTGATCGTGTTGATGCTCTGTATAGCTTTACCTTGAAGAATATGAAGAAATGCTGTTACACGTGTCCTTTGGTCAATAATCCAGGCTTTTACATCTCGTAGAATTCACCATGATAGATGCAGAAGTTCACTTGAAGAGTGCCCATTCTGGTAGGAATTTGCAGGAAGACAGGTTTGTCTTGGATTCAAACGTGATGTACTTTGACGAGTAAATGTCTGAATTTCCACTTCTTTTCTATATGCTATATCCACAAGTGCAGAAGAAACGCTGGTCGAACTACAGCAATAGTATCTATATCTGAGATTGTCATTAACAGTACTTGGTTTGACTGTTAATTGCTGGACATGATGTGGACTTCAGAATATCCTTCAAGATCTGATCAAAGCTAATTTCCCAGTGGTCCACCTATGAGTCCTTTATGGATTTAGAAAAGTAGACACACCTTAATGGCTAATTCTTAGATTAGTGAATCATAGATTTTTTAAACTGGAAACAACCAATACCTTTCTTTTACGGATGAGAAACTAATACCTGGAGATCCTAAGTGATTTTCCCAAGGCACACATAGTCAGAATCTCCATCTTTCTGTTGCAGTGCTCTGCCTTTACAATGTAATTAGAAAGAAACCGTCAAAGGAGATAATTAAGATAAGAGACTAAAAGATATAACAAGAACCATAGGTTCGGGTATTCAAAAGAGAAGCCAAATAAACCAGTACAAGGTCAGCCAGACATTAAAAACAAACAACAACAACAACAAAAACAGCACTACAGCCAGCAATAATAATGGCTTCAAATGGCCTCTATTTTGGCACATTTGTATTTCTACACAGACTCTCCTGAGCTCCAGAACCATATGTCTACCTTCCCATTTGACATCCCCACTTGAACATCCTACAGGCATCTCACAATTTAACTTGTCAAAAACTGAACCTTTGATCTTCTCTCCTAAATCTGCTTTTCCTCCTGTGCTTCACGTCTCGGGTAATGACGCCTCTGTCCATTCAGTTACTCATTCCAGAAACTGCCAAGGATCCTTCATGCCTCCCACATCTCACCTCCTGCAGCATCTATCAACAAGCCATATTTTTTCCTTCTATAAAATATGTCTCAAGTAAGCCCGTTTATCGCCATCTTCACTGTCACCACTCTAGTCCAAGTCCTCATCCCTCACCTGGACCACAGCAAAAGTCTCCTAACTGCTCTCTGTTTTCCTGCCTGCCTTTATCTGATTTGTTTTCTATGTGGCAGATCACTGTTTTGCTTAGAAGTCTGCGTTGGGCTGCCGTGTTAATTAGGGAACAATCTGAAATGCAAAACTTGCATTTCAACAAGCCTTGTGGGACTCGATCCTGCCTATATCTTCAACCTCATCTCATGCCACTTCCTTCCTGGCTCATTACAGCCCCACTACCTTGGTCATTTAATTTATTTTTTCAAAGATTGATTGATTGATTGATTGGAGAGAGAGAGAGAGAGAGCCATTGTGCACGAGTTGGGGGAAGAGCAGAGGGAAAGAATCGCAAGCAGACTCCTCACTGAGCCTGAAGCCTGATGTGGGGCTCCATCTCATGACCCTGAGATCATGACCTGAGCCAAAACCAAAAGCCAGATGCTCAACCATCTGAGCTACCCAGGAACCTGAACCCCCTTGGGGTCATTTTAGATAGAGATATGCCAGTGGCTTCCCTGTCTTAGCATCTTGGCACATGCTGTTACATCCATCTTCCCAAATACTCTTACCCCTGACATTTACCAGCTAATACATCTCATTATAAACTCCCAGCTGAAATCTCACTTCTCCAGAGCCTGCCCATAATCCGTGTTCCAGTCTGAATCATATCTTCCTTTTTAACCTTATATTATATCTCATTGAGAAGACGGTCATAGAGCAAAGATTTAAAGGAAGCAAAGAGGAAAATGGGGAATTAGGAAAGTAGCCTGTTCTGTTTCTTACCATGTGACAAAAGCTAGGGAAATTAACTCATTGGTTCATACCACAACCCTATTAGGCAGGCATTTTTATCTTTCTTTAGAGGGGTTTGCATGGCTTTTTCTAAAAGAAGTAAAATTGGTCTTATACCGGTCAGCTGAATTAAGTCAGTCAAGAATGCAAACGAACCAATTGCTTCACTTGTACCATTTGCTGTGACCATGGTTAACTCATGCCAAAATCTCCAAGTGATTCAAAGTTGACGGCAAGACATTAGACAGAAGGAGCCTCCCGGTCATGTCCCCAAAGCCAGGTATATGGAATGATTTGCACCTCCTTGATCACAGTCCTCTGTCTAGGCTGTTGCCATTTCAGAGGACCATCAGACGGGTATCAGCAGGAGGGACCAACCGACTCCACTGGACAAGCCTCTGAGGGTGCAGGGCTCTTCAGACTCAGAACCGAACTCCACTGGGCACATAGAGGGAAATGTCCTTTTGGAGACTAACATAAATCTATCTGTTCAAGTATGAAAAGAGCTACTACAAAGCATGATAAATTTGAAGCCATACATTTCTAGACTTGTATCCTGAAGCGACCAGTTAACCACTGAATGACTTAACTGCTGTTAGATCTGAGTTTCTTCATCCATGAATAAATATGATAAAACCTGTCTTGCTATTTTGTCTGAGAAGAGGAAATCACTTATGGAAAGACCTAGTAAGAAAACTGACACAGTAAGTAGTAAATAATGGAAGTGTTCATAGCTCCTATCCCTCCATCAGGAGAATTTCCTGAGGTTCTTAGGCATCTTCAGGTGTCTTCCTGCAGCTCTTTTTAGAAGTGAGGAAACAAAAAAAAAAAAAAAAAAAGAAGAAGAAGAAGGAAAGGAACCTTCCCCAAAGACATGCAGTGAATTTCCTCATATGTCATTGGGCCAAAAGGGTGTCATCTGCCCTGCATGATCCAATCAGTGTGAGGGGAATGAGATCATCATGATGGATTAAACCAGTCATGACTCATCCCCTTGGACTGAAGATGGGCCAGCTTCCCTTGAAATGCATGATCACATAGGAAGACCTAAACAAAAGCAGGATTCCCTTAGGAGGAAGGAGATGGGAGAATGGATGCTGAATAAACAATCACCCACCTCTTCAGCACTCACTCTATCTTTGGAAAAAGTTGCGTCCTCTCATCCCACCAACTTCCATTCATCTATACAATAAGGTATTTGGATTTCATCACCTGCAAGAGCCCTCCCAGCTTTGACCCAGTGATGATGGTTTCCCTTTATATTATCGTGAGATAAGAATATTGATACTCTTTACAGTATAACATCATGGTTGAAAACGGGCTTTGGAGACAGTTCTGGATTTGAACCTTTCAGCTCTTGTGGTATAGGCCATGTTACTTGACCATTCTGAGCCTCATCTTCAGCAAATTGGGGGACTTCATAGGATTGGGGTAAAAATTAAGTCATATAATGCTTGTAAAATATTGAACTTATTATCCTGAATATGCTAACCACAAGGTCACTTAACATTGTTAAGGATTTTGAGGTTTCACCATAAATGTTCCAGGACTTTGTTGACTCATCAGTAATTTCAAACAAAACCAAACTAAGTGTGGACAAATAAGATAAATTTTGAGTAACAAATAATCAGCAGAAGCCAAATTCAGGGGAGGAGGATTGGGGAAAATTCTGGATGTAGTGAGCTGGAAGCAGCTGCATAAGAGACTGATGTCAGGATCAAGTTATGGTTGTTAAGACAAGCCCGGGCCCACAGATCAGCTGAGTTTGGAAGGGGAAGACAGGTAGGAGTTAAGAGAATGGAAGAAAGGGGTGCCTGGGTGGCTCAGTGGGTTGAAGCCTCTGCCTTCGGCTCAGGTCAGGATCCCAGGGTCCTGAGATCCCAGGCTCCTGGGATCAAGCCCCGCATAGGGCTCTCTGCTCAGCAGGGAGCCTACTTCCTCCTCTCTCTCTGCCTGCCTCTCGGCCTACTTGTGATCTCTGTATGCCAAATAAATAAATAAAATCTTTAAGAGAGAGAGAGAGAGGAAGAGATGCATATTCTTAATTAGAACCTTGGAGACTGAAATGAAAGAAGAGTCTGTGTGTGGTGGTGCGGTAAGAGAGCCACCCTCTAGCCTCAGGAAATGTTCCAAACACACATGGAGCTCTTCTTCCTGAGGAATGCTGCTCTACATCATGGCAGCTCCTGATCTAGTGATAACTGCTCTGTGATGAGGCTCACCTGTGTGCATTTACACAGCAGTGCATATCCGTGTGCACTGGCTGGCACATTTGTCTTGTACAACCGAAGAGAGAATTTCAGGGTGTCACCCTCACAGAACCTACAGGTAGAATGTGATTAAATGAAGCCGATCTTCAGCTGAGCTCGGTCTCCTCTGTGAAGGCTGTCTGCCTGCTGGATTTCCCTTGGCTCCGATCCTTGAGTGTCCACCTGCTTTTTTTGTAAGCCGTCTCTCAGGAAAGTTCAGAAAAAAAGAAGTATACTTGTTAGCACCTTGCTCGCCATCCCTTTTGCCTCATGTGCTATCCATTTCTGGGCTATGGTAGTGTTGAGAGGCAAGGGTTGGCTCTGAAATCAGACAAGCCACAATCAGAGGAAGGCTCCTCTATCATCAGCTTGCCTTGGGCACGTCACTGACTCACCTCAATCTCGGCTTCTTCATCTCTTCCATGGCTTCTTGTGAGGAGTAAATAAAATAGTAGTTTAATGAACATGTCCCACCTTCTTCACCCACCCAGGGGGAGGGGATGCAGGGCACAGTACAGCAGAAGCAGGTGTGTCCTGGAAGGCACCTCTCCCACCAGGGGCTCTTGAGGAAGACATTCCTCTGTTTATTTCTGACCCAACATCCCACTTTCCAGGTCCAGTCCAGTCTGTATATGCTGCACAGAGGAATTGAACACCCTTCCCCTCTGAAAAAATATCGTAGTTTGGCTAATGAGTAATCTGGTCACCTAGTAACAGGATATGGAAGATGCTTTTTCTTCCTATTTCTGGTAATTGGGCATTAATACTTTGA